CTGAGTTATGAGGAAATTTAGTTTACGCGCTTGTCTCTTTGCTTCGCGCAGCTCTTCTTCTACTCGCATTCTTTCTATCGCTATCTCAAACCTCAATTTCATTACGCTATTTTTTTTTTTTTAGTTCACTTTTGGAGTACCGTATCGTCGCGAAATAACGTCCCGGGGCGTTATTTCGAGACAAAAAAATTTAAAACGAGTTAATAATTAATTTTGCCGATGATTTTTTTGAACCTTAATATTTATTTAATAGTAAAGTTTAAAAATCATCGGCAAAATTAATTATTAACTCGTTTTAAAATTTTTTGTCTCGAAATAACGCCCCGGGGCGTTATTTCGCGACGATACGGTATCAAACGCAGCAGAGGTGCTGGTAACTAATTCCATCAATCTCACCAATAATGATAAAATTATTTCACTACTATGGTTTAATTTTATCAACATCTTTAGTTCCAAAGTGAGACTTAGGATGAGACTCGATTCATCGTAAGCTAATCTAAGTTAACTTAATCCAAGCTAAGTTAATTAGGAATGATCATGGCTTAGTAAACTGTGACTCGAATCGAGCTAACCTGGCCCGTAAGTCGATTCTTAGATTGACTCGATTCGGTTCGAGCAGAGCCGGGTCAGTTTAACAGTCGATTTACGGATCAAGTTAACTAGATTTGAGTTATCCTAATTAACTTGGCTTGGTTAAATTAATTCAGTTTAAGTCAAGCTAGATCAGTGTGAATTCCATCTCTAGGTGAGACGATATCTTGTCATCTTATATTTTCCAGAGCTTGAGAGTACATTTTAATCGAAGTAAATTAATGGAATCCAAATGAATTTCTTTAGCGAATGTTCAAGATCTTGCTTGTTCTATGCAAGATTTTACATTACTGGCGAAATACTTTGCGGGCGATTCACATGATATAATATAGTCATGTGAATTATCACGTGTAGATCTAGGTTTCGTAGTACGTACGTACGTACTGTACATACGTATTCATGATTAGAGCTTCGATATGATTTGTTAACTATATCTTAGTCATTTAGCGAATGTTTGAATAATTCGAATATTGTTCAAAGAGAAAATGAAGCTCTACTCATGGTCTTTTAAAATAAAGACGCGAAATTGCAAAATTACGAAATTGAATCATAAAAGCAAAAGTTAATCTGTTAAGATTTTAATGAAAATAATAGTCTCTATCAGTCTCAAAAATTGTTATATGATAAAAACAGGTTTATACTCTGATTTAGATTGTTTATTTATAGTTTTTTGAGTTTTGAAGTTTTGTATGTCGTGACACTTACCTTGAAAGTATCGTGCGACGGGCAATCTGTTAGCATCTTTATGATAATGTTATGATCAATTACTCTCTTATTTTCGTATCACTATAAACCGTATCAATCATATATAAAAAAATGAATGCACATGCCGGCGAAAATCAAAACTATAAAGTGAGGCAACTGCCTCAATCCATCAACTCAAAAGCGCTCGGTGCACACCCTGACTTTCTTACAAATAAATCATGTCAAATTATAATTTCTCAGCGAGAGACCGCGCCAATTCCTCATCTCGGTCTTACTCGTCAGACCACCCACCTCAGCGTCCACCTCCTTCTAGTAGGACCTCCGCTCTCAATTTAAACAACTTGTTGAATTCAGACGATCAACCTATGTCACACACATCCAGCCACTTTTCACTTCCTCCATTAGCTTCTCACGCGGCACCACCTTATACTCAGCCGACTCTATCGTTTTCTTCGTACACTTCACAAACGAACAACACGCATTATAGACATAATCACAACGATTATCCTCCTTCCACTTTGTCTACTCCTTCAACTTTATCACATTCTATTCCACCATCGATCCTTCCGATTCAACGCCATTTACCAGCTTACAATAGTCCCTCCTGGGATTATTCCGAGCCCCCTGCTCATCAGGTAAGTAGCTTTTTTTTTTTCTTTTTTTTTTTTTTTTTATAACAAATATAACGCGACACGGAATTTAGTCATTGTAAAAATACAAAAATTAATTATTAATTTTTTTATTTATTTATTATTATTTTCTTTCTTTTATCTAATAAAGTTACCAGGCACGCAGTATAAAGTGGATCACGGTAAGTAAAAAGAACTATTATCAGTGATTCGTTCATTATTTCAAAATTTATAAGTGGTTATTTATTTCGATCTAGCATCTTCAGTGCCACAGCAAACATTATCATTTTTTCATAATTCAAATGTAAATCAAAATTCTCTGCATCGTATTCACGAAAACACTGGTGTGGTGCCTCATGAGGTATTTAAACGAAACTAAAATAAAACAAATCAAACTTATTCATTAATTTCATTTTGTTTGATATATATCTTTAAAGACCCTACGTCCTTTGCCTGTAATGTCCATTAATCAACTTTTGAGCAGAGATCCGAATGAAGATGCTGGATTCCAATTTGCAAAATCACAAAATGGTCCCAGTGGTGTATTTGATGGCGGTCAATACGGTAGATCAAATTTGGCTCATGCCCCAACGGATAGTACGGAAGATAAAGATAGTGCGATAACTGCTTCAGATGCCAACACCGATGCGAGTTTACATGGATCGGACCGATCAGAAGGTGAATCAACCGAAGAGGAATTAATTATTCCTCCACCTCCACGTAAAATACCTGAACCAGAGGTGGGATTCGTTGTGGTATGTACTTATCGTTGTTTTAAACTTTCTACTCTATAAATACAAATATTCTTTTTTAAAAAATTAGAATGATTATGATTAACTATTAATGCAGTATAACCTCGATGTAACAAAGTTTTATATAACAAGATTCGAAACAATAATAATTTTATTAGTTCAATTTATGTGTAAAAATTCTAATTCAATTTGGTGAAACTTTTAATATACTCGAGTAAAACATTCCAGTTTAGAGCTTTATATCGAGGTTATGCTGTTGATTAATCTTATTCTTTTTATGAACTCGCTTCAAGTACATACTTTGATCTCTTACATCTTCTATCTATCGGTTTAAATATCATTAGAAGTTAAAGCAAAATCAAAGTTCACAGTCGTCAAGCACTCCTTCGACTCGTGAATCTCAGGAACCAGATAATCTAAAAATCATTTCTGCTCCACAAACTTTTCAGCTTTCTCAAAGTAATCGTAAGTTACCTGTCACTCCTACATCTCAGACATCAAAAGTCTCCCCGGCCGCTCGTACAAAACGAGTTACGTCACCGAAGCAACGACCTCAACCTAATCAGAAACCTCAAAATAAAACGCCAAAGCCCAAAAAATCATCACGCATTGACGTTACAGGAATTGACACACAGGAACTGAGCCATTCATCCGAGTCTTCAGTGGCAACTTCTGTAGGTCCTAAACCAAGATATGGCACAAGTCAATCGAGTGAATTAACTGGATCTGAAGAGAGTGATTCTGATGGCACTATAGAAGAGAAATATAGCGAAGAACTGATTAATTATATGGTAGAAGTATATCAACGTCAAAAACGTGTTGTGGATGATTACGAGAGAAGATGTAGGGTATGTGACCATTAAGATGTACTTGTTAAGAACTTTTTTTTCTTAATCTGACAACATACCTTTTTTAGATGAAGAAAGAAACTCTCCGCCGGAAATTTTTAACTCGGATTAGTATACGCATTCCTAGTAGAACATCTGATAAGGAAAATAGTATGGGTCCGATCAAAGGTTTCCGTGGATCGAGACATAAGAACGACAAACGAAAACATCATTATATAGAACTACCAACTGAAACTGATGAAGATGTTAGTACATAACTATCGTGTTCATTATTAAATTTTAATTTTAGAATTCTTACCTTCATTATACTTTATGCTAGAGTGATATTGGTGGACAAAGGCGACCAGCTCATGATGCAAAGGCTCAAAAACATAGAGATGCATTAGAAGTAGAGGAACGACGAAAAATATGGAAAGATATTGTCCGTAACGCTATACCTAGGGTACGCGTTTGAAATCATATTCCAACAGTTGATTCTTGCAAAGGGCAAAAATTAAAGTTTCCGCACTATATTTTATAGATGAATAAGATTGTCATTCAGACCACGACTTCTCGGGCTAATAATTGTCGCAAAGTTGCTCAATTATGCCAGAAGGAAGCTCGTAAAGCTGCTGGAAAATCGTGTAAATCTGCAAAAGATATCCAAAGTAGGGTTAAGCAGGCTAATAAACAGGTATTGTTTTGTATACTATTAATAGATCATGTTAGGATACGTATAAACTGTTTTTCAAAAAATAGATGCTCATGTTTTGGAAACGTAATGAAAAAGAAGAACGTGAGTTACGTAAAAAGGCAGAAAGAGAGGCTTTAGAAAGAATGCGAGTAGAAGAAGAGCTGCGCGAAGCAAAGAGACAAGCGCGTAAACTAAATTTCCTCATAACTCAG